CAAGATCCAGCATATCTTGCACCAAATCCTGGAGGGGGAATCTATAATAATTTATAATGGCCTTCATTAACTTTTCTAGTGATTCCCCTCCTTGTTGCAGAAGGGAATCTGAAGAAACGGTCTCCAACTTAATAAATGGGATTATTGCATTAAATATTAGTTTAAAACAATCATTTTCTCGTTTCATTCTAAACAAAAACTCAAAATTCAATTTGATCAGTTGTGAAGTCTAATGCTGCATTTTTAAAATCTGAACTCTGCGATTTTTTACTTCTGAAACACTTGAAAACGTGTTGGATGTAGGAGCAACAATGAGAGAAAGCCGAGATGAGAACACACCATTAGAGTTGTAGCACACCCGTTGCATTCATGCGTAAAGAAAGAGTCCATACTAGCCAGCGTAAGTCCTTTTTACAGATAGTTGTAAAGGTCAACGAGGTAGGCAAGGGTTTAGATAATTCCCCCTTCTTTAACTCTGTATCAACTTCGATAAGACAAGGGAATCTACAGGTGCATGAAAAGTCGTTACTTATTTTAGAAATGTAATGGCTTTTGGACTTTTTAGAGTAGATAAACGATTCTGTGCTGAAAGAAACAATTTAATATGGTTTTAAGACTGGATTTTTTTTGTTTGCAGAAACAGAAAAACTGGTGAACTGACCGAGTTATCCGTGGATAGACGCAGCTTCTCCATAGGCACCAGGGCTGGTATCTGGGGAATATGAAGAGGAAAATGCATGGGTATCATCAGATAAGCCAGTGGTGACCAACCAGTGGCCCGCGAGACTCTATTCCCTAATAAATTCCTCTAGGGTTTCCTCAAGATAGTCCCTCGCAATACTAGTGACAGAATATGGCCCAGGATGGCTATGGGAGTGAGCTATGCGGCCCCAGAGATAAAATGATTTGGCTTCACAGAATAAAACATATTTACCTTAATCTACGGTCTTTGAAATATATGTCTCCCCTGACGGTCGGAATTTCAACGTGTCCTTTAATCCTCAAGGTGTTAAGTATTACAAATATATTAATGTTGGAGTCATTCTATGAGCCAGCATAATACAATGTAAAACCAAATTGAAGAACATTAATTGGTGTAGCTGTTGACCGTTCACTATAATTTTCATACACTTGCAAGCACGACGAACTTGAAAAAGCATGTGAATACACTAAAATAAGACTGTTTTCGTAGCCAGTGGTGACGTCACATAGCCTTCATTCATTTACATGCGACCCCTAATCAGTTTACAGTAACTAATAGAAAGAGATAGACGAAAATTGGTTTTAAAAAAAACAACACAGTAGGTGCCAAAAATATGACATATTCGATTGTTTCACCTCTGCATTTTTTCTCTACTTATGATCCCCGAGACAACTTTTGTACAAAAAGAATCACATGTTCTCTTTGCTTCACAGGTCATTATTCCATTACGAAGGATTTTGTTCATTTTTAGGTATACTCTTAATTTCAAATAAGCTGGTATTCAATTTTCTTAGGATTTTTTTTCTCAGAAAATATACAATTATATATTTCAAATATTCAATCCTTTCGTTTTAAAGTTTACAGATGGAACTGGCATTTTTGGCATGGCTAACGTGCTGAAGCGGTACAGGATATTCAAGTATAAATTGCTTAAAATAATTGTGAATTTCGGCATTGTCTTTTTACCACTTCCTTCCTTTCTTTCTTGTCCCTTAGTACTTCTTCCAATGTCCGTTTGGGTTGACTAGGAATTGTAACTTCTTTCATTTTCTTCTTCATACATGCATGTGGCTCGTGGATGGCTTCATAGCACAACTGAAAAATAAAAGTTTATTACACTTTTGACACAAGTAATCATCTTCATTGACGTGCAACTACTTACTTCAGCCATTCGTTCATAGTAGGACTTCATGTCCTGTATTTCCTTGAAAAGGTCTTCATATCCAATCCAGAATGAGGCTTCATTCTCACCTGGTCCATCTCCATCTGCATTCATTCTACAAAAGGGGTGTGCAGTGTTTCGGTCAGAATGGTCAATACGTATGGCTGGCAATATTGTCATCTCGTGCGCAAAAGGGTAATCAACCCATTGCTCGTAAAACCCTACTTCGGAAGCGCACTCTATGGAGTCAACTTCATCAGCTGTTTGCAACCTTTCCAACTAACTGTTCCAGAACGCTAAATCGTGGTCTCGATGATACCACCAAAAATAGACAAAGATCTTGAAAATTATTTAATTTAATGATGAAGTAATGAAGTTGTGAATGATCCATGGCAAGGCTCCTAGGATACAGATCCATAAGTATTACTTATGTTTGCAATTTTTAAATTGTCTCCGCGTACCAGTGACACTCGTAAGTCAAAAGTACCTGTGCTAGTACGAATTGAACGAGAGTTGAAAATTACTTTAATGGCCACATATGTAGTTTGGCAAGCTCTAGCGAGAATATTAATCTCATGAAAGAGCAAAGCTGCAGTGTGTGGACCATAGAGCCACTGGGACTATGGTCTACATATTGCATAAACAAAACGCATGCTAAATTCGAGTCCATTCAGCTTTACAAGTTTCACTCAAAATACATAACACAGGGTGACCCAAAAGACCTGGCACACATGAAGATTAGCACATTTATTCCACAATCTTAGCAATGAACTATAAACGTCGTATTTAAAAAAATTATCCTAAAATCACTTATGTGTTACTATACAAAAACCGTATTTTTCGGAAATTTTGTAGTACCACAACAAATTTTTAAAAGCATGTGCCAGGACTTTCGGATCACCCTGTAAGTTTTATCAAGTAGCAACTCGGCCTACAGGATTTAAAGCTCCAATGAAACAGTCAGAAAGACATTACATTAAAACTTCACGTGTACTTCGCTGACGGAACACGGAGAATGCACGCAGATCCGAAGCACTCATCATTCACAAGTGACATCACAACGAGGCGAGAGAAGAAAGGGAGAACGAGAGGATATGACGTGGCCGACATGGAGATAAGAATGTTTCCTATAGCTTTTTTCCAACACATGTTCATGCGCCGAGGCCTGCGAGTGTTACGAGAATGGGAACTGGAGTTCTACCATGCATTCTTCTGTGGGACAAGAATTACTTCCACTTAGGCTTTTGTATTGACAAGAATCACAAGGTGGGATTTTCTTTGACCGCACGACTGAGGCGAAAATGCCCACGGGCGACTATCCGCGTGGGTTTTCACATCTGTCTGCTTCGATCATTAAAAAGGGGGGGGGGGCGACAAGGCGAATGACAGATACCGAAAAAGAATTGGAGTCCATAGAAACGAACTAAGAAATTACGAGCAGTGACATGAGCAAGAAATCGGCAAGGGGGGGGCCAGGTATTCACCCAAACCATACGCCTAGCTCCACTACTGAAATTTACCTTTACTAAGAAATCGTGGTCTGACATCTTTGGTCTGTGGATGGACATCTGACTTGAAGGGGGATAGATAGCTTAAACAGGAATTCCCAAGGAAGGTTGAAAAATGCCTGTCAGTGTCGCTGACCGGGAAGGCCAGCTGGGGGTTCGAACTTCCTAATACTTTTGCAGTACTGCTGCAGTGATTTCTGAAGTTTTTTGTTACCTCCTTCGTCTTTGGCGGCCCCAAGATCATCAACGGCTGAAAATTCTCTTCCTCCACTCTCCTTTGAGTTTACTCTACTTCCCATTACCCTTGTTCGTCCTTTTTATCTGACATTCCCGTAGGTACTATGGTGAAATGCCAGATAATGCGGTCGATCTTTCTTTTTTTTTTCATTTCGTCTGTCCGCAGTAACCATGGTGACCGGACAGCAGCACAACCTGCTGCGCATGTGCAGCTTACCGCCTGGGTCGGGGTGCCCGTCTTCCAGTAAAACATCCACTTCACTTCCAGTCCTAGCGGTTGACGGATCCATAGTAGACAATGGGGGAGAACGGCTGCTCCCGGCCGCGTAGACAAGGTTGCTAGGCGTATGCGTGAAATGTGCATCTGGCATCTTGCACTTCATACTTTCCTCTTATCTCCACGCGAAGCGGACGGGCGGACCTTCGAAAATGCGTATGATTGGGTCTTTTTATGTGCAAATGCCACAAAAAGGGTCCATTATTTTTTTAAATGTTGGATGTTTAGGATGCGGCGAAGCGGAGATGTCAGTGGTATGGGGTCATTGGAATGGCAGNGGATTTTTTTTCTCAGAAAATATACAATTATATATTTCAAATATTCAATCCTTTCGTTTTAAAGTTTACAGATGGAACTGGCATTTTTGGCATGGCTAACGTGCTGAAGCGGTACAGGATATTCAAGTATAAATTGCTTAAAATAATTGTGAATTTCGGCATTGTCTTTTTACCACTTCCTTCCTTTCTTTCTTGTCCCTTAGTACTTCTTCCAATGTCCGTTTGGGTTGACTAGGAATTGTAACTTCTTTCATTTTCTTCTTCATACATGCATGTGGCTCTTGTATGGCTTCATTGCACAACTGAAAAATAAAAGTTTATTACACTTTTGACACAAGTAATCATCTTCAGTGAGGTGCAACTACTTACTTCAGCCATTCGTTCATAGTAGGACTTCATGTCCTGTATTTCCTTGAAAAGGTCTTCATATCCAATCCAGAATGAGGCTTCATTCTCACCTGGTCCATCTCCATCTGCATTCATTCTACAAAAGGAAAGGGGTGTGCAGTGTTTCGGTCAGAATGGTCAATACGTATGGCTGGCAATATTGTCATCTCGTGCGCGAAAGGGTAATTAACCCATTGCTCGTAAAACCCTACTTCGGTAGCTCACTTCATGGAGTCATCTTCATCGGCTGTTCGTAACCTTTCCAACAAACTGTTGCAGAACGCTTAAAACGTGGTCTCGATGATACCACCAAAACTAGACAAAGTTCATCCAAATTATTTAATTTAATGATGAAGTAATGAAGTTGTGAACGATCCATGGCAAGGCTCCTAGGATACAGATCCATAAGTATTACTAATGTTTGCAATTTTAAAATTGCCCCCGCGTACCAGTGACATTCGTAAGTCAGAAGTACCTGTGCCAGTACGAATTGAACGATAGTTGAATATTACTTTAGTTGCCACATATGTAGTTTGGCAAGCTCTAGCGAGAACATTAATCTCCTGAAAGAGCAAAGCTGCAATATGTTGACCATAGAGCTAGAGCCACTGGGACTATGGTCTACATATTGCATAAACAAAACGCTTGCTAAATTCGAGTCCATTCGGCTTTCCAAGTTTCACTCAAAATACATAACACAGGGTGACCCAAAAGACCTGGCACACATGTAGATTAGCACATTTATTCCACAATCTTAGCAATAAACTATAAACGTTGTATTAAAAAAATATCCTAAAATCACTTATGTGTTACTGTACAAAAACTGTATTTTTCGAAAATTTTGTGGTGCCACAACAAATTTTTAAAAGCATGTGCCAGGACTTTTGGATCACCCTGCAAGTTTTATCAAGCAGCAACTCGGCCTACAGGATTTAAAGCTCCAATGAAACAATCAGAAGAACCTTACATTAAAACTTCACATGTACTTCGCTGACGGAACACGGAACATGCACGCAGATCCGAAGCACTCATCATTCACAAGTGACATCACAACGAGGCGAGAGAAGAAAGAGAGAACGAGGATATGACGTGGCCGACATGGAGATACGAATGTTTCCTATCGCTTTTTTCCAACACGTGCTCATGCGCCGAGGCCTGCGAGTGTTACGAGAATGGGAACTGGAGTTCTACCATGCATTCTGGGATTTATGTTTGAACGCACGACTGAGGCGAAAATGCCCACGGGCGACTATCCGCGTGGGTTTTCACACCTGATATCTAATATCACATCTGTCTGCTACGATCATTAAAAAAAATGGGGGGGGGCGACAAGGCGAATGACAGATACCGAGAAAGAATTGGAGTCCATAGAAACTACGAGCAGTGACATGAGCAAGAAATCGGCAAGGGGGGGCCAAGGTATTCACCTTAACCATACGCCTAGCTCCACTACTGAAATTTACCTTTACTAAAAAAATCGTGGTCTGACATCTTTGGTCTGTGGATAGACATCTGACTTGAAGGGGGATAGATAGCTGAAACAGGAATTCCCAAGGAAGGTTGAAAAATGCCTGTCAGTGTCGCTGACCGGGAAGGCCAGCTGGGGGTTCGAACTTCCTAATACTTTTGCAGTACTGCTGCAGTGATTTCTGAAGTCTTTCGTTACCTCCTTCGTCTTTAGCGGCCCCAAGATCATCAACGGCTGAAAATTCTCTTCCTCCACTCTCCTTTGAGTTTACTCTACTTCCCATTACCCTTGTTCGTCCTTTTTATCTGACATTCCCGTAGGTACTATGGTGAAATGCCAGATAATGCGGTCGATCTTTCTTTTTTTTTTCATTTCGTCTGTCCGCAGTAACCATGGTGACCGGACAGCACAACCTGCTGCGCATGTGCAGCTTACCGCCTGGGTCGGGGTGCCCGTCTTCCAGTAAAACATCCACTTCACTTCCAGTCCTAGCGGTTGACGGATCCATAGTAGACAATGGGGGAGAACGGCTGCTCCCGGCCGCGTAGACAAGGTTGCTAGGCGTATGCGTGAAATGTGCATCTGGCATCTTGCACTTCATACTTTCCTCTTATCTCCACGCGAAGCGGACGGGCGGACCTTCGAAAATGCGTATGATTGGGTCTTTTTATGTGCAAATGCCACAAAAAGGGTCCATTATTTTTTTAAATGTTGGATGTTTAGGATGCGGCGAAGCGGAGATGTCAGTGGTATGGGGTCATTGGAATGGCAGGTCTGTACCTGAGCTGGTACTCTAGTTTTCATTATGTTAACCATGGTTAACATGGTGTACTAGAGGCGTAATATACTGTATGTTGATAAGCACATCAACAAAATCTGTCGGTATCGACTTATAATGAGTCATGCATAAAAATGGTGATACACGACATTTGTTCAATTTAACAAGTAACTTTTAACTTTTGTGAGATTATGTTTGTATGGTGATTCCCTTGCCTGAGTCATCTTGTTTTACCTGGGGCGTCATGGCCATGATGGATAAAGACTTAACCGAATCAACACGATTTGAATCGAAGTTCCTATAATTTCGTATTCCTGCCAGTTTCAATTCAATCACCTTACCTATCACAAAGAGAGATCGAATTGTAAGAAAACATATCAGTATTAACACATCTCGTACTGGACTTTTACCCCATCGATCCGCCGCTCGGACCGGAGCCTCAGTTACCTTAGCATAAAGCTCGATGCCTAAAGGCTATGACTTTTTCGGCCATAGGCTAGGCGAAAGGACTCAAGAACGGAGAACACGCAAAATGTTAAGCCATTTTCGGGTTCAGGACAATCGGGTTGAGACAGTTGCCCTCCTGGGTCAAATTGCTTCATGAACTGACATTGAAGCGTCACCTACATGAAGTATGCCTTAACAATCACCATGGAATACCACGGAAGAATATGTTAATCCTAATGAAAATAACAGGTTACTCATCATATAAAGGGCACTGCTCGGATCACGACGCAGTATATCGACTCAGCTATATTTCCGCGCCAAGTATGATTAATTGGTTTTCACCTTTTTCCAGTAGTGTAGCCAGGATTTGGCCATGACAGAAGTGTTTCTAGGCGAGAGGATTCATAAGAATAGTTCATGTACTTCGACCTTTCATTTAAATTTTGAAGTTGAGGCGGAGGAACTTTCCTCCCTCGTCTTGAGATTGCCTATACTTTCGCTTCAGTGGAAACTCGGGGCGACTTTCCACGCGTGAATTTCACAACCGATACCCATATATGCCTCAACCCTTAAAAAGGACAGGCAAGGTCATTTCTTAGCTTCATTATCCCTCCATGTGCAAGATGGCTACTGAAAATAAGTTAGAGATGATAGGGGAGAACGTTCTCGAAGGCTGTGTGCATCGATCTCACTGGAAGAGTGAGAACCGAAGTCGCTGGAAATGCGAGGAAGAAAGATGCCGAGCTGGTGTTACTTTGGACAATCAGCAACAAATGTTGGGTCTTTCTGGGCGCATGATAAGAATCCCAGGAAGATGAAGGTAATTCGCCAGATGCGTTGTGATGCTCAACACAGCATACTGAAGCCTATCCCCCAGATATACAGGTCAATTTTTCTTCTTTTCGATATGGCTATTATAATGTGACTCTCTTGAATGGCAAATTTTCCCTTGCATTATTGATGAATAGTTCTACTGTTCTTTTTCCGAAAAGAAGATAGCGAATGCTTCCTGCATCATTTTTAGTATATTATGCCAAATCGATGTCTCATATTATAATAGTTCCCATGTATTTTACATTCCATGGAAGCTGTGACGTCTCAGCCGATCCTATAAAGTATGGCTATCCAATTTCCTATCTTTGAAAATCTGAAGTCCGGGCTGTATAAGGTGAGGAGGAAGCTTCTTCCGCCCTTGCCAAAGAAGCGTGAAGACGTGCAACTTGAGGGGGAATTTACTATGACTGAGAGAGGAGTCTTTTTTACTGACGTCTTCTGGCCAAAAAGACAATCAATTGATTTTCTGCACATCTATAAATCTCGAACTGCTTTGTGAAGCTGATACAGTCTAAAGTACATGGATGGGACTTAAAAAATCGTTCCACTCCTTTTCTCCCAGCTCTATACACACTATGATTTGTGGGGTGATGCTTCCATTGGTGTTCTGTCTCACTCCTGCAAGAGACAAAGAGGTCTATGTTCGCATCTTCAAGATCTTGATCGTAGCTGCAGAGGAGAACCATCTCTTTTTAATGTAGGAAACATTTCGTGTTGAATTCATAGGATGAGCTGGGATTGAAACGGTGGTTTGCAGTGGCCGATGGATTAGGTGTAATTTGGAAATATCTCATCCGGACATCCCTAAATTAACATGGCGACCAGCTCGTATGTCATGCTTTCTAAAGGCACTTTCTTCTTGGAACGAGTCAAGACGGTTCGAGAAACTCTGGATAGGCTTAACGTTCTCCGACCACTCTGAAATGGTTCATGAAACTCGGAAAACACCTACATTCGGTCTAATGTCACGTTCTTTAAGCGGGCCATGAGAGACTGAATAGGTCTGAGATTGACCTAACGTTACACGTCTTCAACGAGGTGTCTCGAAGAAAAGGGATTAATCCTTAATAGGCCTAATTGGTCCGTAGGTCAAGGTTTGAATTCCATTTGAACGAAAATATGTAGACCTAGGCCTAGGCTTGACGTTAGTGAGTTGCGTAGAGAAGGGGGAGATGATGGCGAGGTTGGGGTTGAGTTGAGGTTAAATCTAAAGAAAGGTAAAATCTTTGAAAATTGGTTTTCACACTACTACATATTATATATTTCCACTGCTAGTTGATGGATTCTGCACAAGCATGGTGCAGTTTTTCATAATCTGCCTGACCAAAAGTAATTTGGAAGTGAATTGAACATGGACTGCATAGACCTACGAAATGCATTATCTTCATGAAAAAGAAGCTTCCTGAGAAAAAAGGGACGGATGAAAAAAGATCACGTTCCCTTTAACTAAAATTCGCATGATTATCTATCAAATTTGATACGAGGTATGAGGGTGAAAATGGGGAACAAAAACATGTACATCTTATCCTCTCGTTCGTTTAAAGTTTAAACTTTCCATAGCTTCTTTCAGAATTCGATTCTCATCGCTTTCTCGAAGAGGAAGCTTTCTCTTTTCTCCTTTGTAACTAGAAAAAAAGTTTCATTGCAGTCAGATATACAGGGTACCCATAACTTAGTGTATAGTTGCATTGTATTGAAATTATTAGTTTCTTTTTCGTTTTCGTGCAAAAAGAAAACGTCTTTAACGTTGCCCTTGTAAACTAGTATCCCCTGCGGATTGCGACACATTTGCATTCGGTTTGGGACTGAACGACTCATGTTAGCACAAGTTTCTGGTGCAAAGCTGGCAAAGACTTCCACTTGGCATTATGCAGTTCTTCACCAGTGTGTGGATTTTTTCAATAGACGTTGTTATTCGCGACAAGGTCTATGCAAAAATAGCATGGTACACATTTTTACCGTCAAATGATGTGGTCAGCACAAATGAATTTTCTGTTAACAAGTATTATTTATCACTGGGAAACTGCAATTGAGAAGCTTGCCTCTGGACTCTCTCGAGCGCCGGAATCCAGTAATCCTTCTAACACTCATACTGTATTTTCTGATAGCCCCAAGACCTGAAGAAATCCTATATTTCTGAACGGATCCGTTAAGCGTTTAAATTCGAGTTCTTCGAATCGGTCTCTCTGGTTCACATTTGGTTCTCTCAGACCTTCACAGGGGCAGTACTTCCCAAAGTATCTGTCCTATTCAAGCACAGAGAGAAACCTTGACACCGTAACTATGTGAATTCTTTCAATCTGTAGAATATACGCCATGCAGCGGCACCTATAGATCTAAGAAGGATATTCGTGATATACAATATAGTACATCCTCAAAGAAACATTCACGCTTTTGCGTATAAATGAAAAATTACTTAATCGTAGGCGATGTAATGTGCCTATGAATCCAGCAGAACGGAAAGTAAGGTCCATAAACAATAGCTCCAGTATTTTTTTTTTTTACCTAGAAAGAATAGTTATTCGAGGACAACGAAACAATTGATTCACAAGAATAAGTTTATTCTGGATTTGAGAGTTAGAGACGGAATAAAATTATAGGCTTTTCTTTGCCTTCAAGATGGGCAGTTTTGACTAGGGCTGTACCGATGACCACCGATGGTCGATTTTCATCTCATAACCATCGGCTGGTGCCGGTGCCGATTGTCTGAAAATTGAGAAGTAACATGAAAATGCCTACTAATTTATGTAGGCCTGTTATGATATCATGTGATACTTCTTAGGGGACCCCCAAAAATCAATAGAAGCCATATTTAGTAGGGGAAGGTAGGGCAAAACGGGGCAACGTTAGCCCCCAAAAGGGGCGAGCTAAAGCCTGTGACCCTCGGACTCTTGCTATTACCTGACTCCCCTGAGGGAAGCTTCTTGCCCTTGGCTATTCATGACTTGCCTGGGGGAAGTGGGGGAGGAATAAAACTTCCTACCGAACGTTGGGTCCTACGCTGGAAGAGTAAAAAAAAATCGGCCAGTGGGGTTCTCCGGCGGGCAGACGATCTGACACACAAATGTCAACTGTTATAATAAAGACACCACCTTCTTCCGTTAGCTCGTCATGCCAACCGAGATGTTCAGACACGTATGTTTATGTGTCGAATGTCAACCGTTGGACTGCAAACTGATGAGGGTTTACGACTACTTGACTACTACTACGAAGAATTAGATTACCGTGGAATTTAAACCATGTTAATTTTGTTTTTGTTTTTTTTTTTCCTTGTGAAAATTCAGCCATTTAAATATTAGACTTTTTACTGGAATCTCATCTGTATTCAACATTTTTATATCCCTTCTAAACCATTACCTCCCACTGGAACGCTTGTATTCCTCAGCTAAGTTCATGAAATTGCCACTTCATAGGGAGGAAAAGACTTAAACGACTCCAAAATAAACGAGCGCATGGTATGAGGAGTATTGCATGCATAAAGGTGATTAAGCCATGGATAGAGACCCTCTCTAATCGCCAACGGTGTGGAAGCTCAGCGCAAGTGGAGAAAGGTGGAAGGTGATGAATAGGGGTAACCCTAATTGAACGCTATGCCCTGGAGCGAAGAGACTCTGAAGAAGGCCCTGCCTTGCCATTCACCTCTGACCACACCAGAGTTGAGAACCACATTCCAAGAGGCAATAAATGACCCTCATTAAGTTGAGCCATTTAACTTGACTGGAGATATACCTGTCATGTGAAGTTTCTGTTCAGTGACCTATTAAAATAGGTATATATTATGAATAAAAACGTTTAAAACAACATTTGGAGGAGCACCCCATTTTGCCCCATCGGTGGAGCAAAACGGAGTATTTGACAACATTTTTTACAATTGTCGTGGAGGAAAAACCGTCGCTGATTTCGCGATGAAGTTGAATCCTAATTGTAGGTAAAACATGGAAGGTACCGCATACCAATCCGCAAAATACTACGCCAATTCCTTGATACTAAATTTGACAAATTTTCCTGAAACGCCCGGTTTTACTTCACCTTCCCCTGTCTGTCCGTCAGTGGTTGGCTTGCCACCTAGTGCTGCAGTCAAGATAGTATAACGACACATCTCTAACATACGCATAACGTAAAAAGGATTTACTATGATTTCCCGTTCTTTGCTGCTATTTTCCTGCGCCAGTTTCAAGAATGGGGCTGAAATATAATCTGATATTATTCAGGTTTACACGTTCACTCATTTTTTTCCCGTAAGTTTTGCCCATCATTTAGACATCGGCAGCTCGCAAACCGGCCGATACCGGTGGTAGCCGATACATCCGTACAGCCCTGGTTTTGACGGCACTGCTAATCATTGCTGAACTGTAAAATACAATACATATTCAGGGTAATAGTCTTGATCATGGTACTTCACGAATATTTTTGGAGAGAGGACATTGTCAGCAGTCGTTTCGTAACCATCTGGAGGCATGGTCATGGAGCCATTTCCTAAGGCACATTTCCCCACCAGCACTCTCATCAGCAGCATGCACTTCTCGTTTCGATGGGAAGGTGAGGACTGGGCGTAGCGGGCGGCTAAGAGGGGGTCGTCGGTGAAGTACGTGCCCTGTCCGTATATCTGTCCAACGTTTATTCCGTGGCGTCTCCAGTCTAGGTTTCTTTCACAAATGTTATCGAGGTTCTCGCGACTCGTGCCGTGCCATAGATACTTCTCGTTCAATCTCTTCAGATCCCGATCGTGCTGCTTGAGAAAGAGATCTCGGCGGTTCTGGTACATCTCCCACAGGTACGGATTCTGGACCCTCTCGACGCCCTGAACAGTGAAATTTTGAGGGAGACGCTTGCTCGCCAGCAAGTACTCGTGAGAGAGCCGCTGCAGAGCGACTCTTTTCACCAACTCCTCTTTGGGCATCGGCTCCCACTGCCGTGGGAAGTGCAGTCTCCCTTCACCGGCATTCACAATGGCATAGAATGGGGGCTCCATTCCACTTTCTTTGAGTACCGTGTGTGGGGGCGATTTGACCATGGCCTGAAAAGTATTACAGATACGTATAAGCCCAAGATAGCGACATACGAGTCCTTCATAGATCAGCTAATTTACTCGTACAATCGTAAAAAAAAATGTTTGCACAGGATTTTTCCTAGAAGAGACAGAATGGACCTGCGAATCATAACGTGTTCTAAACCACATTGTTTTTTTTTTCAGAAGGAACAAAGGAGGGTGGAGATAAGGAGGAATCCGCGAGAAAAACGAAGGGCTTATGGACTTTATTTAAATGAGCATATATATTTTCGAATTCATATTGGTTTAGTCCTACT